GAAGATCCCCTATCTGCCTTATTGAGATCTTAAAAACCAGAAATTCTCAGAAATGTAATGACACAGCACCTTAACCATTACCTTTCCTGGCTGACAACAGGAGCCATAGGCTGTGAACATTTAGAAATGGGGACTGTTTTGTGCCTGTACTTTCCCCTGCTGTGGAAAAGGCCCACTCTGCTAATGCCCGCCTAACTCCCTGCTGCAGCCGCCCGGAGTTTCCTGGGCAAGCGTGGAGCATTGGCAACAGAGCTGACTGTGGTCAGGACCGGGGGGAGCCCTTCCTGATGCCCCCACACCCTGAGGAGCTGCCCACCTGGGTCCACCGTTGCTTTTCAGCCCCGATGTGGGGCTGGGTCACCCAGGGCAGAGGGAGCGTGCTGGTGTCTGGGTCTGGCCCTGGCGTGTCACCTGTGCTTACTCAGGGCTGCAGGGGACAGCAGGCCACACCAACTAGCCAAAACCTTGCTGTCTTGCCATGGCAAGGGTCTCAGCTCCTGTTCTCTGCCCCACTTGCTGTCCTCACAGCTTGCTAGCTGGCAGGACTTGATGAGTTGATGCGTTGAAATGGCTGTATGCAGGAATAGACACCATGTCTACAGGTGGAAAAGAAGAAAACGAGTCTGAGAGAGAACACCTGGGGCTGGTGATGTGGTATTATGGACATTACAAGGGAGATATTTCTCTTCAAATAATCAGCTGAGGACTATTTGGCATGAGTCATGGTTTGAAAGCTTCTGTTTACCTTTTTTTAGAGAAGGACAAAAAAGTTTCTGCAGACAGCCGTTTCAATGCTGACAGGGTGTGCCACTAGTTTTGGAATATTTCCTCTGTGTAGAGGCAAAGCAGTGCTCTCACTTTGAATGTAACAAGCTCCAAGCCACTGAGTCAGCATCTCCCTAAACTCTTGGCCAAAGCTTTATTTTGCGGTCATGATCTTCATATTTGCACCACTTCATTCAAGCTGGACTTCTTCCTTTCTTGGTTCTGCGTGAGGCAGTAAGTGAAGAGGAGGTGGTATGTGGCCTTCATCAGCCAAAAGGTTGAATCTGTATTTGGAAGCCAGCAGTTCCTCAGCATTTCACAGTGCAACAGCAACTCCCCCTGCCAGGATGACTTTGCTTCTTCCCCACTCCGGCCACTGCCCACGATTCCTTCTGTCTGACAAAAATTTTGTAAAGGGGAAGGGGATGAGCTGTAGTGAAACTCTCAGCTACCATCCAGAGCAAGCCAGCTGGAGCCCAGCTCTTAGTCTTGCAGGCAAGGGTGCAAACCCAGAAGAGCTCCCAAAAATAAGGTTAGCCTTACCCAAAGCTTCCCCTCCACATATTACTTGTCGGACATTCCAATCCAGATCACATTTGCTGTTCTCACAAACTGTGCCTCGCCAAAGGGCTGTCTTTTTGAGAAATTTAGAGGTATGAATTTGCAGTAATCTTGTCATCTCTCATGGTGAGGGTCTTGGGTGGTGGTGAGTGCAAGGTGTCTGATTCTTTTTTCAGGGAAAAGATTCCATGCAAATACCATATGCACCCTGAGCTTCATACCAGAGGACCTGGCACAAATTAGCAGATGGGCTACAAATCTACACTAGCTTATTATTTCATGTTGACTTTCCTGAGAAGACTACACTAGGTATATTTGAACTCTTCCTTTCCTAGCACATCTAATAACATTCTTTCTTTTTTTTTTTTTTTTTTTAAATAAGCTTTAGGCATGAATGTTTATTGGCTCATCACTAAGTTGAAGATTTAGAGCTGGGAACAGCTACATCTCTTGAGATGTTGCCTTCAGATGTGTGGGAGTCTGTCACCTTTACATGGAAATGTAAGTATGATACTTTCATTCCCTGTGAGGAAACTGCTTAGTGTATTACAAAGAACAGAAGACTTAAAGAGAGAGCAAGCAACAGAAGCCAATGTATATGATTACAGCACTTTGTGGCTTTTGCAGTGGAAACAATACCACAGAGATGATGGTAGCTGCAAAGAAACACCTCATTGTCATGGCTGCACTCGGTCGTTTGCTCTGCTGTTTGTCAGAAGATGGAAATAGCTGGCAATGCAGCGGGCTAAACAGAGGCCAAGCATCCTTAGCCATGGGCTCACAGGCCTCACTGAAGACAGGTCCAGCACCACCATACTGGGAGACATCCCCTTTTGTATCGGTGCCCTGGTTTTCTGGCTGGCTTGTGCTTAGCCCAGCAGTGTTACTTCCTGTGTAACGGGTAGGAGCGAGGGTGTCTGCAGCGAGCGGAGGAGCCCCAGGGCCTGGCAGACCTTGCCTCATCCTGCCCAGCACAACTTGGGCTGGTGTTTGGACTGTGGCAGCACACAGGCACACAGCTGCAAGCAGTAGCTCTCACCATGCCTGTCTCGCTCCTTGGGGGGCATTTCCAGCTGGTGCCGGGGGGCTGCTCTGCCAGTGCTCTCTGATGTAGCTGTTCTCAGGACATGCCTCCAGAGCTCCTCTGTGGCAGTAGCCCAAAGCTGCTGCCCTTTCCAGTGATACCTTCAGACACCCTCTCCTTCACACCTTCCCTTGGAGCTTTCCTTGGAGGGAACCAGAGACATAAATGCAGGGACTTCCAGTGCTTGCTCCTCAAGAGGGGGAGAGTAAAGCCACATGGATAGTGCCATTTCCCCGCTTTTCATCTGGCAGGACGGCTGAGGTTAGAGACACAGGCTGCTTTCTCCTTGTCCAGCTGGGTCTGATGGCGCAGGAGGTTTCTGATACTGTTTAAAAAAGGGGTTGCTCGGTGGGATGCACATGCCAGGATCACCCATCCTGGAGCAAGGTAGGTGGTGTGCCACTTTGTTGGCTTGGCTGTGCTTTTATTATACAGAATCTCTAAGCAAGTTGATTTTCTGCATATACACAAAACTACTCAGCAGTACCAAGGCCTGCTGTCACTTCTGTAGTGACAGTGGACAGGGGATATCAGCTATTGAGCCCTCACCACCTGAGTGCTTTCACTGCTCACAGCAAACTCATTTTTGAACAGACTTTTTATATCCTTTAGGAGTGGTTTCTTGCTCCTGTCTACTTGTTGCTCTAACAGGAAAAAATATGCCACATTTGATGTGCTATAACTGGTCTGCTGAAGCACGGGGGCTTCCAGTCTGAGTCACTCCAGCTGTGATTTTTGCCAGAGCATGGGCATCTGGGCATGACACACTTGATTAACAGGAAGTAGTGGCCTACATTATGAATACAGGGCATCCTTTTAAGCCTTGTTCTGCTGCTGTGGAGCTTTACCTCTCTTCTCTCTCTTGCCTTCACACACACACACGCACATCCTTGCATTTGTATTTCATTTGTACCAATCCCAGTTTTTGCCTGCAGCCCAGCAGCAGGGAGTATCCAGCGAGCAGGGCGGCACTGAGCAGGCTGTGTGTGTGCACAAAGCAGAAGGACGGTCCCTGCCGCAGCACGTTTGCGATCTGAGCATGCCAACAAGCAGAGAGAGCATAGGGGTATGCTGGAAGCAGGCTGTGGCTTTGAGGGATGTTGCCTTGAGGAAGAAGCGAGACAAGGTTGAGCAGAGTGCGGGCAGTGGTTTCGGCATGCCCAGGGGCCTCTCTTTGCCCTGCTTTATGTACCCAGCATAAAAAAAGCAGAAGATTGGGGTTGCTGCCTTTGCCCAAAGCCCTGTAGGCTCTCAGGCTGGAAGCAGATGTGTCCAAGCATACAGACCTGTGTGTCCCTGGCAGCGTGGCCAGGGAGAGAGGTCCCCACAGACCCCCAGGGCTGGTGCTGCTGGCACAGTCTGCGTGGCTGCGGAGATGCCTGGGCATGGCAGCCCCTGCCCTCAGCTTGTTTTTCTCCACAGAGGGTAGAGATTAGGCACAGAAATGTCATCTTGTTGTTGCTTCCTCTCTCCCTTTACGTGTGCCTCCCCTGTGCATTCTTTCTAAGGAAGCAATAACAAAAAGAAGGAAGAAAAGCTAGGTTTTCCCTGTGATGTGCAGAGGCAGTAATACAGGGACCTTGGTGCATGTTGCCTCAGGTAACTTTTTCCCTTTTGGTGCAAAAAGGAGTAGTTTTTACCAGCTTTAGTACCAGCTAAAATATTATGGAGTAGGGGAGGTGTCTTACAAGATCTTCCTATAACTCCAAGGAAGGAGAATCACATAAATGATTGTACATCTCTTGTGCCATAGCTGTTTTTCTATCTTCTTTCTCTTGGTCTACATCTGTGATAAAAAGCTGGAAGATTTCAGTGGCTGCTTTAGCAGAGGGATTGTGTTGGGGATGATACAATTCAAAATCCTCACCACCTCATCTGCTTCATATTGGAATAAAGACTTTATTAGCTTTTCACGTGTTTTTGAACCTAACTCCCATGCCTCCTCCCAGCTTCTTTCTCACCATCTTTTCCACACCAGCCAGCTTCAGGGCTGGTTTCTGGCTAGATCCAAGGCAGTGTTTTCATCCCCTTCCACACTTATCCCTCTCTCACAGCTTGCTCAAATGGCAGCCCCTCATAGATCAGATGTTGAGGTGAAGCGGATCCTGCCGGTTTCCAAGAGAAGCGTGTCTCCTTTCTACACGTTGCCCAACAGCCATTGGCTATCTGCCCCTCACTGGTTGTCCAGAGCTTTCTGTCCCTTCACTGCTGCTGAAGCTATGGGGGAGCAGAAGGATTCCCACCACCCATCACTTCAAACCCCGTATCTGATCCACTAGAATGGTGGCATGTAGGTGCTGGAGTTGAACTCTTTGGGTGAACGCTGAAGAGGACAAGAGCCCTGGCTGGCCTTCCAGCTGGGTAGACAGACCTTGGGGCCGTTACTACATTTTAGTGCGTTTTCCTTGTCACTGCATATTGTCCCCATCCTGATTAATCACCCTGTTGAGAGGTATTTCTGCCCGTGGTTTTTGTGTCTGTGCTAGAAATGAGAAGTGCTAGGGTGAGAGCTGGAGGAGGGGAGGAGGGCACGAGGGTTGTACTGACACGTCCCACGACCGCTTGCTCACAGCAGAAAATCATTTCATCTGCCAGGAGCTATCATTAGACAAGGCAACACTGGATGCTTTTGATTCTGAATATGAATTTTAGGAGGATTTTCTTAGTCAAGTGCCTGCTGCTTTTATTTCCCAGTGTAAAATGTGAGTTTTTCTTAACATTGTTTGCTCTTTCGGGCTAGATTTGTTAAAACTGTGTTTGAAACCATTTACAACTTGCTGGAATGTTACTGATAAGAAACTAATTCCACTTTCCCAATGAGTGAAGACCTTTTGGTTATTGCTATTATTATTCAATTTAATTTTCAGCCGGGGGGAGGGCAGGACCTGAGTTTCCTATTCCAGTTATAATAATAAGCTGTAAACAGTTTTGGTTTTAAGTTAATGAGCCTTAATTTGACACATGTATAATGAGAAATGTCAGTGTGCAGTTTTGTCTCTGCCCTCGAGGTAGCTTGTACTACATTAGAGATCCAGTTCACGGTGCATTATCACATGTAATTTCCTTTTCTTATCAAAGATGAACAAATCTTTTGAAAGTGCAAATTATATTCTTCCATAAATATTAACAGAAAGAGTGATATATCTCCGTTTCTTCAGTGGAGTTGAAGAAGTCTAAGATGTGAAAACAGCAAGAAAATACATATGTCTTTTGAGTTTTGCATATTATTGCTCTCATTATTTTTTAAAATATTAATCTAAAAACTTAATTAAGGTGTTAATTCATAGATTAGAGAAGGTTATGAGAGATAGAGACAACACAGTCATGCATAGATTTTCTTCTCTGTTCATTCCACTATAGATTGTATATATGGATGTTTAATGCTTTTCTCCAGAACAAAATTAATAGGTAAATAAGGAACGTGGTGGGGTGGTTGGTTTTTGGTTTTTGGTTTTTTTTTTTTTTAATATACGTGATATATATTAACCATCTTGCCCAGCAGAAATGAAGATTATTCCCTTGGATGGCAAACTTGTTCCAATAACTTCCCTACTTCTCTGAAGTTACTATGGGAGCTTTTAATTTTAACTCTTTCTTGTGACTGCAAGTGAACGTTACACTGCCAGTTTGGATCTTTCTGCCTCTCGGAGTGCATTTTAGTTGGCATTGAAGAAATGCTTTTTCATTTTCTAAACAGATTTTTAGTATTGTATGTGTGGGATGCTCAGCTTTCCATTAGCAGGACTATGGAGATCAGATTAAAAAAAAATCCAGAGATTTGTCTAGGTGGTCTGTCCATAGACATGCCATTGAATTATCCTTGAAAACTTTTTTTTTTTTTTCTCTCTGGAAGTAAAGGGAAAAAAATAATAATTGTATCTGTTATGCAAAGAAATTTTATTACTAGCTCTAAATAGCTGTGCACGACTGAGCAGAAACAAGTATTAGAATTTAAATATTTGGGTATAATCTGTACTATCATCTGTGTGGAAGATAGCTGCTTCCAAGACTGGTTGGTTGAGAGCTTGATTTCAGAATATTTCATTAGATATGTCAAATACCTTGTAAGAAATGCAATAGTGAAGTAACAGCCTCTCCTTAGACTGGGGGTGAATTGCCAAAAGCGCTTCAGTATTAATTTGCTTGTTGTAGAGGCACACTATTTTAGCTCTTTGATTATCTCTAACATTGTTAGCCTCATGAAATAGCAACTGGATTTCAGCTTCCCCTCTGTGATATAGTTTATCACTGTCTTACATACCAGGAATGAAGGACTGTAATAAAAATATGCATAAACATAGTTTTTCTCTCTGTGGGGAAAAAGTGGTTGAAATGTATAAAATTAGAGCAGAATCAGCTCCATCTGGTGATGTGAAAAGAAAACCCCTCCTGCTGATTGTCTTTATCCTGTAAATCGAAGAAGAATGAACATAAGAAAATGACAAAAGAAATAGGCTGTGGCTCCGAGTGCACATTCGGTTATCCCACCTGACACTCGTGAGCACTTTTCTACCTCCTCCTGCAAATTTTCCACCCACCACAGGGGTGGAGACAATACCTTACTTGCAGTGACCTCCCAACAAACTTTGCACTCTGAAGCCCCGGTTCACCAGCGATGGGCCTTGCACAGGCTGTGAAGCAGCCTGGATGGGAGAGGGCATCTCACCCAGGCACAGCCCGAAGAGTACGTCATGATTGATGTTTAGCAGCCTTGGCTTTCCTGAATATCCCCTGCAGCAGCCACATGCTAAGTGCTGTCCAGCCCTGGCAGCACCTTTGGGAAGCTCCTACTCTTACCTGTTCTGGAGAGGGGACCTGTCATCAAAGGAGACCTGCAAGGAGAAGAGATTTTTTTGGCCTTTGCTTATCTCCTAATGTCATCAGTGCCCAATCACAGGATGCAGTTAGCTGTTTGTTTCTCCCTGATTTACTTGCCCCATTGTGATCCTGTGCTAGAAAAATATTCCAGTGGGGCAGGGTGCACAGGATGGGTGAGGAGGGGGCACTGCAAGCTGGCGGCACTGGGACTGCCTCCAGTTCAGTGCCTTACACTCACTCACTGCTTGACATGGGCTACTATTATTATTATTATTATTGCCATCACTGTTGTTGCTGAACCAACTCTACTGTCCAGGGCCACTAGTAGTTTGTGTTCTTGTTGTACGTAGTGGTGTTTGCAGTGATGGGTGCTCTGGGTACCAGCCTGTGCCACGTGCAAAACACAACAAAGTGACCTTATTTTCAGGAAGGGTTAAGTTCAGGGTTAAGTTCAGAGGCCATCTGATCCAAATTCACTCCAAATAAGTCAGCCAGAGTATAAAGCCAGCTTTTGAAAGCTGGACTCTTAGCTTCCTTGCCTCTTAGAATTAAATTGGGCACTGACATTAATCTAATGACTGATCAAGAGAAGCCTAGGCTTAGGCAACTTGGGGCAGAGGAAGGGTAGCAAGTGACAGCCTTTTGGGTCACTGCTGTGGCTGCTGAGCATGACATCGGGGGCTGCTGGAGATATGCTGATGGGCCGGTTGTCCTTCCCTTTACAGGCTCTGTCACCAAATGGATTTACATGGCCATGAATGAGTCAGCTCTTCTCAGCATTGCTGCTGCTGGGAACGTATATGATGCAACATGGCTGAAAGACAGAAAAAAGTTGCTTCAGATAAAAGATAAGACAGTTAAGTACTATGCGAACAAGGAACAATGCAGGTGTAAGATATTTCTAAATGGGACTCTGCAAATAGAGAAGGTGGTGAAGGAGGACAGTGGAAAGTACACCGTGACTGTTTATCAGCAGGATGGAAAATTGAAAACAGAAGAAGATACAATGTTCATAGTTCAGGGTGAGTGTTTGCTCTTCCCATACCATTCCCAGACTAGCTGAACAACACTTGGTATTCCCACTCTCTCCTATGACCTTTTCCACTCATTGCCACCCTTTCTGTTTTGGGGGGACTTCTGTGAGACGTACCTCTCTCCTCCCACCACTGATAGCAGTCTGCCTCTCTTCTCCCTTCTCTTCCTCCAGTTGATGCTCTCTGGTCCCTTGCTTTTCTCTGGCTCCCCTCTCTGTCAGCCACCGCTTCCACATATGCCCGAGCAAGCAGCCGTGAGCGTGCCCATGTTGGCCATAGCGTGGGTGCATATGGCCCTGTCGCAGCCCTGCACGTGGTGCTTGGGACTCCTCGGGCATGGAGCTGCTCTATGCAACGGGGGATGTGCCCCCAGCAGCACCCTGCTTTCAGAAACCTCTTGTGGTAGCGCAGCAACCTACGTGAGGTATGCCTGCAGCTGATGCACTGTGCACTTCTGGCACTTCTGGTGCTGTTTTATAGGCACTGAGTTAAGACTTTTGGTCTCTAGTTACCGCTCCAGCAAGGTCAGCACCTTGTGTTGTATCTGCCAAACTCCTGAGGAGATCTCAGGAGCTCAGGAAGCACTAAATACCTGTGTTTAGGCAATGCGGTCTCAGTCCATTTTTGTTCCAAGATAAAAAATAGCCAACAGTCACCTCCCCTGAGATACACCACAATAGGAGTTGAATTTGCAGGGGAAGAAGACTCCTACACCCTATCCTTGTGTAGCATAACACAACAAATACGAAGATTGTGGTGTTCAGAGCACACCTCAGCACACACTGGGGATTTCAGCTGCATGGGTTCAAAGCATGAAGGCAGCCTCCATTCCTGTGCTGTATCTTGTCCTGAGAGATCAGAGTGGTAGCAGCCCAAAGCTTTTGGGATTAGCAGGGAAGATAGGGATGGCTCCTTTATGGCTGCTGCCACTTGTCCAGGCTCCTAGACTGTAGGGTAGTGTGGATTTTTTTCCTAGCAAGAGGATATTTTTGCTCTGTCTTTCCTCAGCTAGCATGCACACCTTTCCAGCTCTTGAGTTTGAGGTCACCAGCTGGCACAACAGAAATGATGACTTGATAAAGCAGCAATGACAGCTGGAATGGTTTTAGCAGGGTTTCTGTGCAGTGGGAGGCCCTGTGGCTAGCAGGCTGCTGAGCAGTAAGGGTGTCTCACTACTTCGGGAATTATTATTGCAAACTGTCTGCAGGTTCAGGAAGTCGTCAGGGCCTGATGCTACTTAGTTGTGCTTTAAGCCACTGAGCTGTCATTGGGGTGTACTGGGTTCAATTTCAGGTTAAGGCTCCAAGCTAGTTACGTGCTGCATCATTGCACCTACTGTGCAGCAGAGAGGTTGCCTTACCTCTGATAAATGGTTTTGGAAGTAAACTCCTTTAGTAATTGTTGGGTGCTAGAGTCATTTGTCAGCCAGATTGTTACTAAGGTTGGACAAACAGTTGTTCCAAATAAATAATAGTTTAGATGATACCATCACACAAGTCCATTGCTGGGATCTAGTGTTTCACACTGGGGTGTTCCCCTGGATGATAGGTTACAGCTGGCAGAAGAGGAGGGGGCTTAACAAGGAAAGAGTGGCTGCAGATGTCACAGTGTGAACCTAGGCTGCATTTCCTACAAGCAGCCCTTATCGACTTTAAAATTTATGCTCTCCATAAGTTACACTGCCTATAACTACAAGTGGCCCTGGCATTTTTTTGTTTACCTGGTCTTAAAGGTAGAAATTATTTTTTTTTCCCCCTCTGATGTTCCTGCCAGTTGTCCCTAGTTGAGGAAACCCTGCAGGCTTTTCTGGGTCTTTCAGTGTCACCGTGATAGAGAATCTGGAACTGGAATGTAGCTAGCTGTTGCAGGACATAAAAAGAGACAGAAATCAGTTCTGTCTGTCATAACCTCATTGAGAGCTAAGAGGTGTCTGGTTTGTGTTTTCAGTTTTGATGGGTTTTCATGCTGTGGCTCTCGTGCTATAGCTGAGTGCTGTCGGTAGTACATAAAGCATTGTATATAGCTGTTTGTCCTGCCTTAGAGGAAATCTCTCCTGATGGGTACAGGCAGATCAGAGCTGACTTCATTTGCACCAAAACACTGGGGCCGGAGTTGGAGGGGGCTGTAGCTCTGTTGTCTCTCCTATGTGCTGCCTTCCGAGAAAACAGCTTCCGCCCCTCGCCTGGCTGCCTGGGTGTGCGCCACGCTCACCCTGAAAGCAGTCAAGCCGTCGTGCTGCTGCTCTGCCTTGCTAGGCCAAATATGTAGTCTAACATACTGCATTTTCTTTATTACTGTCGTTACTTCTGTAGTAGAGGTCTAATTTGCTCTTCATTCCTCTCTGGTCTCATGAGCTGGTGTTACTCCCTTACTGCTTATTTGGGGCTAATTCTCTGTTCTGCTTAATAATGGAGGTTTTCAAAAGGAGAAACCACCTCAGATGTGCTTGTCCCTTCTTTTCTTTTTCAGAGCCTGTCCCTCAGCCAATCCTCAGTGCTGAATGCATGAATAAAACTGCATCTGTCAAGTGTGAAGTGAAGCACAAGACTAAAGATGAAACATTTATGATGGAACTGACTCAAGATAAAAAGAAAAAAATCCAAAAGAATGCAACAAGGTTGGAATTGTACACACAGTATTCTGGGACGTTCAGATGCATTGTTAAAAACCAAGTCAGCGAAAAAACAGCCGAAAAAGTAATTAAGTGCTCAGGTAAAAAAGTAATTAAGTGCTCAGGTAAAAAAGTCTGTTTTTGCCAGAATCTGGTAGGGCGGACCCACAAAGCCTGCATGTATCTGTAGGACTGGTCCGGGTGCCAGGAGCATCCATGGTTCTTGGTACCCAGTATTGTGAGTCTAACACCACAACAGTCATTGGGAGCCGATGCTGCTGTAGTAGCCAGGATGCGAGTCGTGCTTTCTGCTTGGCATTCCTCAGCCTTGTCACACCTCCACCCTCCCCACCCTGCTGCTGCCTGCCCCACTGCTACCCTTGTGGCATCCCTGCTCTAACAGCAGAGAGGCCAAGCTGGGGACAGTGGGATGTGAGGTGGGCTGTGCTCCTCCTCTTCTCCTGCGGCCAGTGGTGTTTGACTCCATGCTCAGTGAGGCCTGGGGATCTCTGGAAGAGGGGGAGAGGTTCTTCTGGAGTCAAGAGCTTTGTGGGTGGCTGAGAGGCCCCTGGGGCATACTGCAATGCTGCTTCCACTGGAGGTGAAGTCTCCTGGAAGAAACTGCAGCCTGCCAGTGAGATCAGGCTGGCTGAAGGGTGAATGAATGAGAGAGAGATTTTTGCTCGTCCCATCATTTTCTCTCTCCCCTCCATCACTTTTGATTCTTCTTGAAAAAGTTGCCAGAGATATCCTGACTTTTTGGTGTCAGCATCCTGACAGGCTCAAGTGGTGTGAACCATCACTAGTGGTAGACCAATGAAGTAAAGGAGAAAGCTGGGAGGTGGACCTAAAAGTGTTTTAATCACACACAGCAGCCTGCAAAAGGCTGAAAGCACTTCCCCCCTCATTTTTATCCTCCTTGATTCCTTAAAAATTAACAGTACTTCTCAAAAGTTGACATCAGTCAGTCAGTCCAAGGACATAGAGTTGACTTCAATAAAATAGTCTAAAACTACCCAAGCTACCACAACATAAATTAACAGTTTATTCTTGGAAAATATGGCTTGGGATCTTCTATGTATATGAAGCCATGCATTGATTTCAAGGGGTTTGCTCTTGATTTACATCCTTATGGCAGGAAAATCAGTTGCACACTATCTTTCTCTCCTCCATGATCATACCTATGAAGGGGGTGGTTGCCTGCTACCTGTGGGTATGGATGGGCGCTCTCACAAGGAGAAGAATAAGCTGCTTGGACTCTCCATCTTGGCCTAGAAATCTGGAGGGAGGTTATGGAGAATTTAGGTGAGCTTTAGGGCTGCGTGGCTCATATGAGCATGACTCAAATATACCATGGATTTTCTTATTCACTTGAAATGTCATCTTTCTAAACCACAAACGCAGCAAAAGAATTGGAGGAATTGCATTTAAAATGGATAGAGTCATGATGAAAATAATTAAATAGGCAAAAGAAGTCATTGCTCTTCCCCGTAAAAGTTTTGAAAGTTAAGGCAAAAAGAAGGGACAGATCATACTGGTATGACACTGGTTGTGATGTTCAGATCAAAGTTCAGATTTCCAGTGCAGTATTGGGGAAAAGTCCTTTGAATTTGCTGGGCTTGGGTTCATCCCACCTAACTGTGAGTGCTTCACTTAAAGTACTTGTTTGCTCTAGATTCCCGCTAGAGCTAGTGAAGAGTGAGGATCTCATGAAAGCTGGCTCAGTATTTCCAGTTTCCATCTATTTCTGCCACAATGAATTTAAGGAAAAGTCCAAGTCCCAAGGCCAGCCCATGATGTGAGACGGGAGGGAGCAAACCTTAATGAATAGAGGCCCTGGAGGATCCAAGGTCTGCTCTGGCTGATTGAAAGGATAAGAGCTGAGGGATGGGGTGGCCCCTGCTCTTCCACACAGCCCTTGCCTCCTGAAGGATCCTCCTGATACCTAAAATAGCTGAAGAAGAGTTGTTTTCTGCTGCATGAGTGCCTGACCTGATTGCCTGCACAGCCCCATTGGTGCTGGCATTGGGAAAGGTCTGAGGCATGGGATGTGGCATGGACTTTTGAGCCGGGTGTGAAAACATGCTGATGGATTAGGTCCATTTAAGGCAGAACAAACTAGCTCAAACATGTCTTAATGAGGAAATGCTGCCTGAAGCCTGGCCATCCTAGGGCACAAGCCAGGCAAGCATGGGCCTGCCTGAATTGCTGGTATAGGCAGGCATTGCCCATACTTTGACTTCCCTTCTTCTCACCCTTGAGAAGTGCTTTTCTTTCACCGGGTGAGTTGGGCAGGAAAGTTTGTTTCTTCTCAAATCATTAACAGAGAAATAAAATGTTTGCCATACTGGTCTTTAAAGCACAAATACAGCATTTCTCAGACACCAAACACTAAAACCATGCAGCACTACCCTTCCTACTCAAACTAAAAACCCCTCATACCTTTCTGTGTGGTGAGAAGACTACCGGCTCCATATTAGATAAAAAATCCCTCAGCTTGCAAACCTTCTTCCAACCCTGCTGCCCTCCATGGACATCTAGTCCTGCCTTCAAGGCCTATTAACTTGAATTTTGACCTGGCAAGGCATACTTCAGATGGGCTGCAGCTCGGCTAACTTTTCATACAACCTTAACTATGTATGAATCTACCTGGGCTCACCTTATAGTTAGCTGGGAGAAACAGGCATGGAAAGGGCAAAATACACCTTGGTGTAACACTGGCAGCTACAACAGGTGAGAAGAACCACATCACTGCGGGTACTTGTCTTTTTTTCCACTGGGGCAACTCAGGCTGATGGTGGCCTTTATACTGTAGACACCTCAGCTTTGGTTTCATCACCCTGTGCCCTCCATGTGCATGCCCAGTGAATGTTAAGGGTGGTACCAGTGGTGTCATCTTTGGAGCTTTGTCCCCCAAGGAGCTGAGGAAGGTGCACTTCTGCTGGGTTCAGCTCCATGGTGTTTGTGCTCAGGCATGAACACCAAATGCCAGGAGGACAGCCCAAGCAGGAGGTGGTAAAGAAAGGCTAGTGTACAGCAAACTTTGTCTGACCAAAACAAGAAACACTCATACAAATTTTTGTGCACTGAGCAAACCCAACTCTCATTTTGAGGCTGTGGGATATTTGGTTATGTTCTTTTTCTTTTCACTATTTTTTAAAATTTGTGTACAGCCAAAAATTGAAGAGGAAGTACCAAAATACTGTGAAGCAAGCTAGTCTCAGTGTTTCCATCTCAGTAGGAAGTACTAAGAAGGTTTATTTTTGTTAGATGCTGAGCACTGCCTGGATGCTCATTGTCCTTAAAAGGGTCCATTGGTAGCAGGAACAGGGCATTTGTGGTAATTTAAATAAGATGTATTGGCACACATGAATGCTCTGGTTTCAATTTTCTGCAGAACTTGAATCCATCAGGGAAAAATCAAAATTCTCCACAGTGAGGACCAGCAACTTTCTGCTGTGTACAAAGAAAAGGCAAAGGGTAGGGTCTCTCACTGGGGCTGCCTGTACAGTCAATAGAAGAAAATACAGAATTCTAGGTAGACGTTGTGCAAGTTATTTCTTTCCCTCTAACATCTTCTTTCATTCCCTTAACTAGGTCAGCTGGACCTTTATCTCATCTTGAGCATAGCAGGAGGTGCAGTCTTCTTTGTCATCTTCATGGTTTTGCTTATTTATTGTATCAGGAAGAAGAAAGCAGAAAGGTTTGAAGACAATGGTAAGTGTTTAAGGGGTTTTATTTTGCTATCCAGACACCTAAAATCTTAGAGATTCCATCTGACAGCACCCCTGTGGGCAGGAGCATGCTCTCTGCCGTGGCATGACCAAGAATCTGGTTTTGGCATATGGTGAAATCTTGGCAGATTGGCTGGCATTGCCAGTTTCGGTTTCTGATATATGCTTTGAACAAAAGATTCTTGTTCTCAAGCCCTTTTATTTATTCATGGGGAAAGAACTCTTCCTCTAAAAGCTCATCCAAGGCTACCAGTCATGAGCATCTGTGGGGCTAAAATACACAATCAGATATCCTGTCAGTAGATTTTTTTCATTAAATTTATATGCTGTAGAATTAGGATCCTTGAAATCATTAATCACATTTAGAAACATTTTAGATAGTGAGAAGGGGCAAGAAGGGCTCAGCCTTTCTGAGTTTCCTCAGGCATCTCACAGAACTTGTCCTCTCTATACAACAATGTCCTTGGAGGCCTATCAACACTGGAGGTCCAACTTGGGGCACTTCAAAGAGCTGAGGTTTTCAGAGTGGGCAGAGATTTCATCTGATGTCCAAACCTCAAAATCATAGGAAATACTCTGCCAGAGTCTTCTCTGAGAGTGGGCTCTCAGTCTTGATGGAGAGGTTGCCTTGAATTACAGCCTGGGTGTTGCTGTTAGTTTGGGTGGACAGAGGATACGGAGCTGCCACTCAGGAGAGTTGTCTGACCCACCTGGAAGGGGAAGCTAAAGCTAGGAGGGAGGTTGCCCTGGCAGTGAGGTTGTCCTGCAGGCAGGGGAGCATGGCAGTTAAAGGCTTGATTCCATGTCCTGCCCCCCCCCACTGTGTCAGGCTTCCTGTATGGTCTCAAATAACAGCTAGTCTCTGTGTCACTCAGCTCTCAAGTTACAAAATGGGAGTGAAAGTTCCTTTGTACACCTCAAAATCTTTGTCAGGAGGGCAATGCCTGAAGTAAAACTCAGCTGATACCTCAAAGGTGCCGGTGGTCAGGCTGACAACAAGGGTAAGTGTGACTGGTCCCATGGCTGTGGGGAGTGCAACCTCACGGCACCTGAGCATGGTTAACTTGCCATGGTCCTCCTGCTTCCCCTGAGAGTACGACCATGAAGAATAGGCAAGTGTTTTCCTTGCTCTCTGGGAGAGCTCACCAAAGTGCAACCAGGGGATGTCATCTCAGAAGGCTTGCCATAGCTTGTGAGCACAACGCTGGAGTGAGCATAGTCATCTGAGTGTTATTTTATATTATGGCTGTTCTTGTTTGGGTGGGATACATTACTCCCTCAACTGTGCAGTGGTACATATCCTCAATTCTTGGGTATGGATTCAGCAAGAATTAAGAAAAAGAGAAGTATGGGAAAAGGAGAACTGATAAAGAATGAGAACTAATAAACTAAAATGAGAACTAATTAACTAAAAAAGAGGGTGACTAGCTTCTTTAAAACAGTTTGGTGTGTGCTTAAGGGCATTTCAGTGTCCCAAGACGTAAATCCCTCAATCCCTAAGATAAACTGACTGACATTTCAGAAATGATGAGTTAGAGATCAAAAGTCAGCTGGCATGAATTTACTGCTTCTGCATTTGGGGAAATTAATGCTGGGAAAATGGACCTCTGGCTTCCAGGTGAATGGACATCCCAGTGCAGATAGTGTCAGGGTGGAGTGTTTTGATGTTGCTTCCTGGGGTTACATCTCACTTTCTCTTCAGTGGCCCATTTCCAAAAGAGGACAGAGCAGCTCAGGCTGCAGGTGTCCATTGGTGACGACTGGGAAAGTTGGTTCCCCCAACACAGGGAGGTCAGAGGTGCCCAGCTGCCCCAAACACTCCCAGGTATCTTGACCTCAGTCAGGTAGCCAAAAAGCTTTTGGGTTTGCCTGGGGTGTGCAGGCAGAGCTGGTTTTGGTTGTTCCACTGGAGTAGCAGGAACACTTGAGAGTGACAATGGGCTTCCAGGTGAGACCAATATTTGGCTTTTTCTTGCTTGGACCAAGCACTTTTCCCTAACTGTTCAACTTCTGCTTAGACTTGAGTACATGCCTGATTGCTGGGTCCTTCTCTCGTTGCAGATGAGGAGCAAATGATGCAGGCTCGCCAGGTGGGCAGGGAAATGGTGGTGCGGGAGCTCCCTCAGGTGCCATGCAATCCCATCCCGAAGCAGCTGTGTGTGCAGCAGCGGCCGCTGCCTCAGCCCCAGGTGCAGCAGCAAGCATTGCCCCCACGGCCCAGGCCCCGCACGCAGCAGCGGACTCCAAACCACCCAAGAGAAAGACCTTGAACATCTGCCCTGGGAGGGATGGTGGATTGTCTGCTCCACCATTCACTGGGAGAAGAAAGTTTCCAATAGTTGGGAACCCCTCCTGCCCACCCTTGCGTAATGCTCAGCTAAGAAACGGCAGCTTTCGTTGTAGAAAATTATAGAGAGCATCAAATGGAGATGAAAAGACCCAGTGGAGGAGATTCAAGGTGATGGGCATTCATCCCTGTGGCCATTTTTCTTCAAGTGTCTCCATGTTAGGGTATGGAGCATTGAGCCTTGAAACCTGTGTCTTCTGTGGTTCACTTGTTTTTATTGCACTTTGTTGTTTTCGTGCTTTTTGGATGGATTATAACAAGAAGAAGCTAAAGTCCTAGTGAGATGACATGGGCCTAAGGATCTTACAGGGTTTTGTCACTTACCTTTCCTTTCTCCTGCCACACATTAGGACAACCTTCTGGTGTCAGAATCAAATACATGACCTCTTGGATCAAAATAATTGTAATTAAATGCTTGTCTGAAGTCGAAAGTATTGGTGTCATCTAATTCAGAGAAGAAAATACTGAAAGGAGATGTGAGAGTCCTGAAGACTGTGTGATGTGTGGGAAAAATGCAAGTGGGAAAGGAGTAAACTTTTCATTTTCTCTACTGTGTTTAATACAAGAAACCACAGGCTTATACTGCAGCAAGAGAGTTAGGTCAGGATTTTTTTATATATATATATATATATTTTTTTTTTTTTCAAACGAAGCACTTCAATAGATTTCTGGGAGAGGATCTCCAGCACTGGAGGTTTCAAAGGGTGGATGAGGCAACCATCTGTAAGGCATTCTTGTCCTGCTGAGGGCCAGGGGAATGTGCTACATGGCCTCTCCAAGGACTTTTTCAGTTTTCTGTGAAAAATGGCAAATTGTGTTGGCAAATAAAATGAAAGTTTTTTCTTGGCATGGGTCTGTTTGGCTATCCAGACACTTTTTTTTTCGTAGAAAAGGTCTGGTATCCATTGACTCATGAAACAAATGTTACAAACAGCCAAGTGGTCTGATCACTAGTCTGAATTGTCTGAATTGTCATGGCTTTGCATCATAGGGCCTCCTGCTGATGGTGAGGGACTGTGTCCCTTGATTCTGTTGGTAGGCACCTCATATATAACCAGGTGATGGCTGAGAGATGTCCCTCCCAAAGGGAGAGGTTGGACTGCAGTAACTGCACCTGCATCACCCTCCATGTGCTGGACAAACATTGCTCGCTCTTCTGGTCCTTGGAGATGTTCTTAACTGCCTCTATGGAACAGCTGAGGAGCTGAGAAAAGTCAATGCTTTTTAAAAGAATGTCTAAATGGGTACACTGTCCCCATCTGGTGTAAGAGGCAGCACAGGTGGAGGAGGAGAGAACTGTGAGAGCCACAGAGCATGAGGCATCCAGCTAACGTGTTGTTGCGTTAGGCAGAAGAACACATAGTACCTCTTTCAGGCCTGACTGTCCTACACATGACAGGCGAGATAGAACAGTCTCCTTTGTTTCTCCTCAGAAATGGGACCATTTTTATCTGGTGCTACAAGGGCAGGGAAGTAACTGATCGGGGAGAAGGAGGTCTCTGCCTTCTCCAGAGTTCAGTCACTTTGCTTGAACTCCAACCAGTGGACACAACCCTAGGAGTGTCACTTGCTCTTGCCCTAGCTTTTTGCAGCTTGTTTTAGGGATTTTGCTATTTAAAGTTGCTATGGTTTATTTCATGGTTTATTTTGTAACATATGCTATATCCCTGTAGTGAATGAATAAAGACAAGGGTGGGTGGAGAGGATTTTAGTTCACACCTGTGCTGGTACTTCAGTATCTGGATCTATCTCACTTTGGTACAAAGGAGGCAAGAAAAATGGTTTGGTCCCTGAGCCATGGAAACATGGACACAGGAGGTTTCACACTGATCCCTGTGAGACGCTGGCTGCCACCTGAGTGCCGGCAGCTGGTGAGCTCTGATCAGCGTGGCTGAGCTCAGCTGCTTTGCCCACCTGCCTGGTGTGGTGGCATTCTCTGCCTGTCCTGTGTGGCCGGAGCTTTATTGGTGCTCTCTCCAGTGCAGCTGAACTGTTGTTTCAGGAGCACTGATTCTTCCTGGGAGAGAGGGAGGGTTACTGGGACCTGAGGAAGATGGCCAGCTCCTCCTGGGACCCCCATGCCACTAATAGTGCTCTCTGTGCCCTGGGCTTAACAGAGCTGCAGGGATGCTTTGGAGATGCTCCTTCCCCACAACCAAGGCTTGGTGAGCTGCTGTCATGCCTCTGAGATACTCCCCGCCTTCCCACCAGCTGCTGCCCCAGGCCCTCCTCTGGCTGGGACTGGTGCTGGTGGGGTGACTCTGGCCCAGTTCCTTGCTCTTCTGGCAAGGAACTCCAGCACAAAGCAGGTTAGGAATGGGAGGCAAGAAGATTTTCTGCTGTTGGTCACAAACTGGGTCCAAACCTGCCCTCAAGACTGGGCTTGAGACTGTCCTGTGAACTGTGGAAACCTCTTCTGTCTCAGCTTAAGGTATGTGAGGGATGTGCACACCCAAAAGCTGCCCTTGAATCCCCTTCCTGGGAGAGGGGCTGCCAGCGGGCACCCTGAGTACAGGGCAGGCCAGAGGTCACAACAATGGGCATGAGTGAAGTGTGGAGCTGTGTTTTAATACTGCCCTCCATCTGACTGCTGTAACCATGGGCTGAGAGAAGCACTCAGCTTCAGCCAACTCGCCAAGGTCTCCTCTGGGTTTCTAGACACTTTTCAGCTAAATGTTTCTCTTACATGCTAAGAGGCTCAAAGCCAGGTAAAAAGAGATGAATTTAACCCTGTTGGGTGGATTTGCACCGAAACACAGACCTCTGTTAGGCAGACAAGAAACTACTATGAGCACAGAATATCCCCATGCAATGGGAGTCTCTCATCAGGGCAATACTTGTTTTTGAATGATGTCTTTTTTTGATAGCCACTGTTGTTTTTGTGATGCCTCATGTTTGTTCCTGATGCACTGCAACAGACGATACTTGTACAGTCCCAAGTTCTACTTGGTGCCTACTTGAAAACTCAGCAATTCTTCTGACTGTGTGTCACAGAGCATTCAAATCTTGGGTTTTTATGCAGTAGAAGATGTTTCACTTCTGGAAAATGAGCTGACAGTGAGACCTAAGAAATAACAGGAAGCTCTTGGCTCTGGTGATACTTGCTGCAACCTTTCTTTGTTCTTTCGTAGACACATCTACCAGTGAGTCATACAAGATGAAGCATTTTTCCCCATTCTTCTTAAGGAGGATGATACGAGAGGGCTGACGTGCTGAGCCGTGCTCTGTAAGGACTTGACCTCCCCAGTTGGAGAGATGCAGTTTCTGCTGCCCGGGTGTCAGCAGGGATCAGTTTTGCTCAGTGATGTGCTGCAGGGTCAGCGCTGAAGGAATAGGAGGAAAGTGCAACCCCATGATCCAAACAGGTCTGTAGTCATGTTGTGGTCCTGTAGTGCTCGCCAGTTGTACAGGCTGAGTAAGCACCCCAAACAGCAATGATTGATTTTATAGAAGGTACAAATCTTCTATCCCAGTCTTAATCCATGTGACTTCATCAGCACTTGCTGCCCAAACCTGGCCTTTCTAATAAAGTAGACAAGACCTGCTTGTATCTCAGCTGGATATTAGCCCATCCAGAGGGAGGCTCTCTTGCTTCTAGCACAAGCAGTGCTGGAGCCAGCTAGATCATTTAATTTCTGAAATAAAACTCTGAGCTTGTGAAAGGTCAAGTAGGAAACCATGACTAGTTCAAATGTCTTTCTTGGGATGCTTGCCAAAATGATGCTATGGGGAAAAGACACTGATTTCATCCTTATTCTGCAACAAATCATCAGGCTCTGATGTGGAGATAAACCCCATCTGGGACTGTGTTGCCCATCAGCTCCCTCCTCCATTCTGACAGACATGGCATCATTTCCTCAGTCATGCTGAAACCTTACAAAATGCTTAAGAAATGCTGGTTTATCTTTTGAACTGTAGTCGTTCATGGAGTGTGCTATGGGCAACAGACTGTGGCAGAGCTCAGCTAGGTCGGCAAGGTGCTCTACCAACGCTCCTTGCAGGTGCTGGCTGTGCAGTGAGCAGGCTGGCATGGCTGTCACTTTCTGATCCCCAAACTGCCTGATGGTCACCCTGGGCCCGGAGGGACTGAGGGGCTTGTTCATGTGCTGCAAGTGATAATGTAAGAGGTCTGGCCGTGAGGCTTTTGAATAAGATCAGTTTCTAGTAGCTATCAAGCTTGTGAAATAACCCTGCTAGGTGATCCTATCTCATGCTGTGGGAGGAAAAATAAGAGTTAATTGAAGGAGAGCACAGTAAGAGGCTCTGCCAATAAAGTGGCCTCCTGACCTTCGCTCCCACCCTTATCTCAGAGGAGGGATGCCAAACCCAGCCTTCTTCTCACCCTCTTCCTCAACAAAGTGCGCCTTCCCTCCCTGCAGGAGGGACTTTTCGAAAGCACTTTCTCCCATCCTTGCAGCGTGGCTGCTGCCTTGAGCCACAGATCAGCAGAGGCTGTGGGAGCACTTTCCTCCTTCACAGGTACAGTTTTAGCCTTTACCTTTGCAGAGTGTTGCCAGAGCAGCTGCTTGAGGGGCTTCTGATTCTCACCCCAAACAGAAATTCCCCTCTGCTCTGCTGCTGGAGAGTGGGAGAGTTGCAGCTCTCCAGGCAGGGGGTGAAGTGGGTGTCTCAGTGCAGCTGGGGCAGATTTTCCATAGCTGGGCTCCAAGCATCTTCTGCCAAGAAGGAAGACACCCCTGACATGTCTATCCTGAAGGACCAGAAAGTATTCAATACCCTCACTGCCTCCCAGCCCCACTTTGGAGGGGAGTATGACAGTGAAAATAAGAAACTGAGCAAAATTTCTCACCCTTTGTGAGAAATTTCCATTTCTCCTGGCAGGGAAAAGGCAAGCAACCCCTAGCTGGTGAGGATGCAAACCTACAGCCCCCTCACCAGAATTTCTCCTCCTTGGTAAGGGGGAGCTGTTCTATCCCCAAGAACAGCAGGGAGTCGGGTGAAGGAGCCTTCCCAAAGCCCGCAGCATAGCAGCACAACACGGCTGCTGCTCCCCTTGACCTTCTGCTGGAACTGGGAAGGTGCAAAGGGGAGCTGTGGGGAGAGAGGACCATGCATATGAGGAGCTGCCTCATGTCAGGATCAGTATGGGCACCTGCCAGCTACTGCCCAGGGCTCCTGAGCTAGGATCTGGGGCAGAGAAAGAGGTCAGGAACCAGGTGAGCAGGCCCAGCGAATAAGCCAGGCTCCATGCATGTAGCACACTGTACAACAGGGCAGGTGGAGAGAGATGGGCAGGCACAGAAATAGCTGCTTCAGAACATGAACTGGATGACCAGGAAGCAGGATTTGAGTTACGTAACTTTCTCATCCTCGCAGTCCTGGGATGAGACTTCTCTTTCTGTGCAGAGCTCACATCTGAACTGCCATTCACCCTTTGGGCAGGGCAAGCATGTGTTTTATGCCTTACTGGGCCTCCTGCTTGCCTGTCCTTTTTTAATTGTCCTTTTTTAGTCACAGGACCAGCTGCCTTAGTCTCACCCCTCCTGTGACACTTCC